CAAGGACAATATAGTAAATGTTTTATGCCAACACAAAGTATTACTGGTGTTTTGTTTTTTTAAAAACTCTTAAAAATGCTGGGATTTCTACTCCTTTAAGTTACATTTCCTGTCCAGCCAGTGTGACTCTGTGGTTAAGCATCCACCCATGCACCAGGAGGTTGCTGGTTTGATTCCCAGTTGGGACACATGCCCAGGTTGTGGGCCAGATCCCCAGTGGGAGGCGTGCAGGAGGCGGCCAATCGATGTTCTCTCTCATCAATGTTTCTATCTCTCTCTCCTTCTCCCTTCCTTTCTCTCTAAAATCAATAAAGGAAAAAAAATAAAAGTTACATTTCTTGCCCTCGCCAGTGTGGCTCAGTTGGTTGAGCATAATCCCATGCACCAAAAGGTCACCGGTTGGATTCCTGGTCAGGACACATGTCCAGGATTCAGGCTCTATCCCCAGTAGGGGCTCTGAAGGAGCCAGCCAATCAATGTTTCTCTCTCACATTGATGTTTCTCTTTCTTTCTCTCTCTCTCCTCCCTCTTCCTTTCTCTCTCTCTAAAATCAATAAAAACACATTAAAAAAAATAGAATAACATACAAATCAAGTAAGCACAGATAGACCCCAAGGAGCCCACACCAAGACACATTATAATCAAAATGCAAAAGGTTAAAGACAAAGAGAGACTCTTAAAAGCAGCAAGAGAAAAGCAGTTAGTTACTTACAAGAGAACTTCCATTAAACTGTCAGCCTATTTCTCTAAAGGAACTTTCCAGGCCAAAAGGGATTGGCATGAAATTTCAAAGTGATGAAAAGCAAGGACCTACAACCAAGATTACTATATCCTGAAAATCTATCATTTAAAATTGATGAACATATAAAGAATTTCCCAGACAAGAAAAAGCTAAAGGAGTTCATCACCACCAAACCAGTATTATATGAAATGAAGGGTCTTCTTAAGGAAGAAGATAAAAAATATGAACAATAGCCCTGGCCGGTTTTGCTCAGTGGTTAGAGTGTCAGCCCATGGACCAATGAGTCCCGGGTTCGATCCTGTCAAGAGCTCATACCTCCGTTGCAGTTTGGTCCCTGGCCCTGTTTGGGGTAGTGCAGGAGGTAACCAGTCAGTATGTTTCCCTTGTGTCTATGTGTTTGTTTCTCTCTCTCTATCTCTCCCCCTCTCTCCCTCTCCCTCCCTTCCTCCCACTCTACCTGAAGATAAACGGAAAAATATCCTCAGGTGAGGATTAAAAAAATATTGGGAAAAAAAAGTATATGAACAATAAAATGGTAATAAGTACATATCTATCAACAATTGAATCTACAAATAAAATGAACAAGCAGAACAGAAAGACTCATAGATACAGAGCACTTTTTGTTGGTTGCCAGACAGGAGAGGGTTTGGGGGAATGAGCGAAAAAGATGAAGGGATTAAGAAGTACAAATTGGTTGTTAGACTGAAGAACCTCAAAGGGAAAGGGGAAGCAGGGAGGGGGATGGGAAGAGATAAACCAAAGACCTTATATGCATATATGCATAACCAATGGATACAGGCAACAGTATGGGGAAGGCAAGGAGTGAGGCAGGAGCAGGGAGGAATGGGTCAATAGGGGAAAAAAGGGGGACATCTGCAATACATTCAACAATAAAGATAAGTTTAAAAAATAAAATAAAAGACAAAAAAATTAAAAATAAATAAAAGTTAGATTTCCTTAAATTTGAGAAAACAACATCTGTACTTGATTTCTAATCCCCTCAAATTAGAAAAAGTATAAAATGCTGTCACCTGCCTTGGCTGATGTCGCTCAGTGGTTAGAATGTAGGCCTGAGGACCAGAGGGTCTCAGGTTCGATTCCTGGTCAAGGGCACATACCTGGTTTGCAGGTTTGATCCCCAGCCCCAAATGGGGTGTGTGCAGGAGGCAACCAATCTATGTGTCTCTCTCATATTGATATTTTCTCTCTCTCTCTCTCTTCCCCTCCCTCCCTCCCTCTTACCCTCTCTAAAAAGCAATGGAAAAAATATCCTAGGATGATGATTAACAACAACAAAAAAGCTGTCACTTCCCCAATTATATAGCCCCAGACATAGTTTTATAACTAGCACATGTAAATGGTATCTTCCCAATAACATGATTGTTATCTATGGTTCAAAATAATAAATGCTGACACTTATATACCAAGCACTCTTCTAAGTAGTTTATAGAATTTATCTCATTTAATCCTCGAAAGACTCCTTAAAGTAGGTACTATTATCATTCCCATTTATAGATAACAAATCTGAGGTTTACAGGTAATATTCACCTAGAATTACTTTGCCAGAACCACTTAGATTAAATTTCAAATACTTTCTAAACTAGTGATACGTGAATTCTAATCAATTTAGACTTATGAAAAATTATTTGTCACCATCTGCTTTGAGAATCTAGCACAGTACTGAATACAGACATTGCAAAAATTGGTAAGTATTTGTTTCATTAGGCTTTCTGGCTACATACACACGTTTGCACTGGTTGTGGTTAAGACTCTCCTTCAGGCTTGATTCACTTTTTGGCAACTAGGAAAACAGCTCTTTCAGGAGTTCTTAGGTCTTGTGGACACAAGTTACCCAGTGAAACAACCCAGAGCGCTTATAGCATCCAGGCCTTTTTCTTTTTTTAATCCTCACCCGAGGACATTTTTCCATTTTTTGTTCAGATAGAGTGGGAGGGAGGGGGGGGGGAAACATCCACATGAAAGGGACACATCAAGTGGCTGCCACCCGCACCATCCAACCAGGGCCGGGAACAAACTGCAACAGAGATATGTGCCCTTAGTGGGAACCGAATCTGGGGTCTCTCTGGACCTCAGGCCAAGGCTCCAACGGCTGAGCCAAACTGGCCAGGGCCAGGACCTTTTCATTGGTCAAATGTAAATAAATCATTATGGGATTACTACGCCCTTTATCTTGAGGCAAAAATAGCTTTTCCCCATTCTCACTATGCTTTACACTTCCTCATTAATGTGACTTCTTAATTTTTATTTATTTTTATCCTTACCCAAGAACATTTTTGCATTCATCTTCAGATAGAGTTGGAGGAAGAGAGGGAGGATGAGAGAGAGAGAAACATCAGTGTGAGAGAGACATATCGACTGGCTGCCACCTACACAACCCCAACCGGGGCTGCGGACAAACTACAACCGAAGTACATGCCCTTAGTGGGAACCGAATCCAGGACTCTGGTCTCTGGGCTGATGCTCTAACTGCTAAGCCAAACCAGCCAGGGCTGACTTTTTATTTTATCATTATTTATTTAAATATCACAAGATATTTTTCCATTGATTTTTAGATACAGTGGGAGGGAGGGTTGGAGGAAGGGGGGGTTAGAGAGAGAGAAAGAGAGACAGACATCCATTGGTTGCCTCCCACCTGACCCAAACTGGGGCCAGGAATTGAACCTGCAACCAAGGTACGCACCTTTGACCAGGAATTGAACCCACCACCCTTCAGTGCGTGAAGGGTACTCTAACCACTGAGTAACACCAGCCAGGGCTAATGTGACTTTTTATTTTAAGCACAAATGCTTTAACTCTGCTGTCACCTTAGACTTAACATAGTTCTTGTATTTGCAACTGTGGCCAGGGGTCATGGCCACAAAATGTAATAAAATGCTTGCTGAATCCAACTGACTATATTTCTACTCTTGGGAGTCAGAGTGTCATAAACAGACTATAGGGTCAAGTGGCCAAACAAATGCTGCACAATATAAACAGCTACTTTCCATCATTCATCCAAAATCATGAAAAGGAAAGTACTGGCATGTGGTGAGCTCATCATTGTTAGCCTTTATGGAGAAGCATAATGGCCAAATGTTGCTGAAGCAGTAAACCACTCTGACAAGAGATGGGGCTAGATAACATCCCTTCCAACTCTAAGGTTCTAGAAAGTTGAATTTGTCAGGAGGCACTGGACAGTATTTAATTTATCTCAGATAACCATTGCCTGAGTAATTCTGTAGTTCCTCCAGCATTCTCCAATATTACCTGCACAGAGGTCACTGAATTACTGGCCACGTCATTATCAAAGACAGACTGCATGAAGAAACAAATCTCAGATGCTGACATAACTCATGTAAAATACAAGAGTCATAATGGATTATTGAGAAGAGAAAATATTAGGTTCATTATCTAGGGCTATATAAATATTATTGATAGTGTTTTACAGAGCTTCTGAATTCCCAAAGCCCTGTTGCCCCTTTGTCCAGGTTAATGAAGAAGAGACTGGAATATTAAAAAATCAGTTCCTAATATAAAGTCACACTGAGATTTTTGGAGCACATCCAATTCCCGTAGTGACTGCATAACGTACACCAACACAGTAGAAATCAATATATCTGAAATCGGGGCAGCAAGCATCCTCAGGGTAAGTAAAAACTGGTGGTTACAGTATCCATGTTTTTTCTCCACAAGTTCAGAGTAAGTCTTACACTCTCAGAACCGTGATTCTTTCAAGGTCTCCTATCATAGGTTACGTCTTTCAAATTCTTACTATATGATCTGGCTTTCTGCGTGCCCCCCCTCCCCCCAGTTGTGGCAAGTATTTGTGATTTCCCACAAATCTTTAAGTGATTTTTTAAATCCTTGCCCAGAAATGTCACAGTAAGGGATTATGTTTTCTACAGGGTCCATCTAGAGTTCCTGAATTTGAGGTTGGTAGGAGATAAGATAAAGGAGATTGAGGGCTTTCATTAGCAGGAACAGGAGAAATGAGTGGAATCTGTGCTCTACGGATAATCACGACCCTGCCTTTAAGGCGAAGAACAGTCCCACAGAGCCAGAGCCCCGCTTCGGGTAGCCGTAGCTGGTAAAACAGGTTCTCCAGCTCTCGGCCGGCCCCGAAGCTCTTGTGCTAGAGGCCGCCCAGGACCCCCGCAACCTCCGGGTTCCCCAGCTCCAGACCTCAGCAACAGCCGCCCTCGGTCCTGAAGCCAGCCAGAGGTGCCCAGCCGCGTTTCCACCCCCTACCCGAACTCACAGCCAGTCTCCTTCTTGATCTCTTCAAGCTCTTCGTCCCGCAGTAGAGTGGAGGCCCGAGACCCCATCACCGAGTCGGGAGCTCCTCTGGGAGCAGGCGCGCCCGAAGCGACGGCGGTAGCGAGAGGGAGGGAGGGTAGGGAAGAAGAGCCAGGGGTCAATGAAGGAAGAGGGCAGCGTTCCCACTGCGGACTGGGGAGGGAACCCAAGGGTGGTGCGCAAGCGAGGGCGTCCCCAAGAGTGGCCAATCAGGAGCGAGGCTGCGCCCGGCGCAGGAGACGACGTCGGCACTTCCAGTTCCAGCCCGCAAATGAATCACCCCAGCGCCAAGCCGGGTATAGCGAGAGACCGACCCCGCCCCCGGAACAGTGATGCAACGGGCCTTAAAAGGGCAATGCCACTCTGGCTCTAGTGACCGCAATTAAAGGGGCACCACCACTGACTCACTTTACAACAAACTAACCTGCGACAGGCAGCTTGTAGCCAGGCAGTTTCTCACAGGACTCTAACATAGAAATCCCACCCTACGAGGGGCACGGGCAGCGCAAAGAAACAATAAAAATAGACGAAACGTCGCTCGGAGGAACTCTAAGGTGTGTCTCCTGGGAACGGCATGCTGGGAATTACATTTTCTCATTTTTCCGGGCCGCCCTCTCTCCTCCCGGCCGCTGGGGGCGCTCGGAATCTGCCTCGCGGCCGCGCGCTGATTGGCTCCTCAGGAAACAGCTGAACCTCTCGTTGGCCCGGCAAGCGTCCGTTGAGCTGAGCTGGTGGCCATCTGTTGCGTACTTGTCTGCGGTCTATTGATAACCGCCACCGCGGGCGTAAAACTCGCCGAGAGTTCTTCCTTAACAGCAGCCCTTTTCACGTTCAAGACTGAAGTTGGAGGAACTCACCATTTGGACAAAATTGAGACAGAATTTCCCAAGCATCCTTCGGATAAAAACCCGTAAAGGCAGAGAAGAGTGAATTCCTAGCGTATGGCTCGCCTTTTATTTGAAATTTGTTATTTTGCCTTAAAAATGAGGAATTCTGCATTTTATTCTTTTTTTAAATCCTCACCTGAAGATATATATATATTTATTTTAGAGAGAGGAAGGGAGCGAGAGAAACGTCATTGGTTGCCTCCTGTAGGCTCCCCTACCGGGGATGGAGCCCGCAGCCTGGGCATGTGCCCTGCCTGGCGTCGCGCCGGCCGCCTTTCTGTGCGAGGGATGATGCTCAACCAACTGAGCCACACTGGCCAGGGCTGCATTCTATTCTTATGGCATATTTTTGTTTTCTTGCAAACTATTAACACTGCCGTTAAATTAGTACACCATCTCCGGTGAACTAGTTCTTTTCCTGTGGCTTCAATGCCTTTACACCCCCTCCCCACCCCATCCCAAGCCCCGAGTGTTGTTTTGTACGGAATCGTTTGAGATGTGGTGAAAACCAAATTCTGACCACTCATTTAGTACCTAAGTACTAGGGGACTCTCAGCAAGCTGCCCAAGTGAACTTGGCTCATTCATTTGACGCTTCACCTAAGGCTTTGACAGCTTAGCATGAAACTGAGGTTCCAGTCCCAAGAGTTTTTTTCATGACTGATTTGTTCTTGTCGCATCTAGTGAAGGCTGACGTCACATGCAGAGTGTGACGTTTTGGATTTGCCCAGCTAGAAGCCACAGGAGCTTTTTATCTTGTGGGTATGGGTATGGTAGAAAACTTTGATGGCAGCCACATTTATGTCTCTTTCTGAGTCTGCCCTGAAGCCCATCTCTAGATTCTGATCTTAGTTTTTCCCTCCTAATCTTGACTCTTACCATTTGTAGCTGTTTGCAGAGCTTTCTTTGCTAATGTTCTTTTCTTACTTTAATATTGTTTCCTTACTTCCCAAGCATTTCACAAACCTTTATTTTTTATGTATCTTTTAAAAATATAAATTTGTACCTTTGGGCAGGTGTTTTAAATCTCTAAGCCTCAGTTTCTGCATGTGTAATTTAGGTAATGGTTGTTTTAGGCAACAAATAACATTTGTGAAAGCATTTGCTAGACCTTAAAATATAAAAATATAGGTTATTTATCTGGCTAAAATTGCTATGTATCTTCTCACCTTTCTAGTTGAATTATGCCTTAATTATTCCATAAATGTTTTATAGTTAAATTGCAAATTCACTGCTTGGCAGTTCCTACTGTGGCAAAGGCAAGTACAGTAGCTTTTAAATTTAACCCACTGTAGAGAAAAATTTATCTGGGGTTTTAAAAATAAGGACATCCAAACAACAGAATTGTTCTAAAAGATACTTTAAAAAACATTCATCTTTTAAATTACAGTATTACACTAAAAAATATGAGTATCTACTATGAATGATAGTTATTTCTGCAAGGTAAAATTTTTTTATACATTTCTGCATTATTATAATGAGCATGCATCATTTTCATAAAAACAGTTGAATTTTACAAAAATAGTATGGCATGTGGCAGTTTAATCTGTCAGGCTCTAAATGACTGGTTGATACTAGCAGCCCAGTGCCTGAACAGTGGCCAGGGTAGGATGGAATGGCCCTTGCAGTGACGTGGCAGCTGGAATGGTGATGCATAAATTGTGATAGTTCTAAGTCACTTGTGCTTAATTTGGTAAAAATGTCAGACTCTGGAAAGGTTACTAATCTAGAACAGTGTAGATCACAGACATTTCTGGGTAAACAGTTTATTGCAGCATGTATTGCAAATGTTTTGCCAACATCATTTTTTTCATTTGTTCTTTTAGTTTTTTTGGTTGATATTAAAAAGATATATGTATGTGCCATTAAAGAGCCTCTAAGTGTTCTGCTTATTCATTTAGCGAAGGAAGGAAGGGTGATGTTACCCCATTTTATAGACCAAAGAAGCCTAGCCTACCTTGCCTTAAGGTTTTCAGTTTCCCATGTATAATTTACATCTTTTTCTCATTATCTTCTAAAAAGATGAACAAAACTGAATTACTCTCATTTTTATTTTTCTTGTTCCTCCCATGTATAGAGAAAGGGAAAATAACTAACCCCACTCCCCCCAAAATATTTTAAAAATCATAGATCTCTTTTATTTTCAAGTGCTTAGATACTTAAAGAAGATTACTTGAAGACTGCTTTTGGAATAAAAAAAGCATGGATCCCAGCAGTGACTACCATTTCCTCAATCAGATTTTGTGGAGAAGGGTGAAACTCACATTGGTTTGTGGCATCTTTGAGGGAGTGCTCCAGCATGTGGACCCTAACAAGATTGTTGTCTTGAAGAAAGGTCTCTTTTTATTTCTCATAATCTGCCTTTTAAGAGATTCATAAGTGAGTTTGGGTGATGATTCTGGATTCCACTGGGATTATTACTAGGCGTTATTCCTATTTTAGGGAAGGAGTAGGAGGAAGATTAGAATGCTATTTTTTCTAACATAGCAACATGGTTGCATATGCAAGCTTGTCCCCACTTCTATAATTTTATTGACATGATAGTAGAAAATTTAAATATAGAGAGTTTTTTAATTGGGTAGTTCTTTTAATTTTTCTCCATATGCATCTTGAAATGAAAAATAACCATTCTGGCCCTGGCCGGTTTGGCTCAGCGGTTAGAGCGTCAGCCTGCAGTCCAGGGAGACCCAGGTTTGGTTCCCGCTAAGGGCATGTACCTCGGTTGCCTTTTGTTCCTGGCCCTGGTTGGTCGTGCGGGTGGCAGCCACTCTATGTGTCCCTTTCACGTTGATGTTTCTCTCTCTCTCTCTTCCTCTCCCTCCCTTCCACTCTATCTGAACAAAAAATGGAAAAGTGTCCTCGGGTGAGGAAAAAAATAAAGAAAAATAACCACTCTGCTAGAATTGCTTTTGGCTTCAACAGACAAATTCAAAAAGACAGTTTTTTTCTCATGCAAAAAAGTCTAGAGGTAGGCTGCTTAGGAATAGTACAGTAGTAGCTCAAAGATACCCGGAGGGACCAGATATCATGTGCTTTTGCTCTGCCACTTCAGTAGTAATCTATTATCCTTGTGATCATAAAATAGCCTCTACATATCCCAGCTTCATTTCTGGTTTACAACTCAGAAACAGCCAAATGGGAGAGATGCATAGGGCAAGGTAAGTGGGAAGGGGCTCAGAGTTTCCTTGCCTTTTCTGGGTGTGCCACTCTCCTAGCTCCTCTGTGTGTACACTTTGAAGCTACAATGTGTAGTTTTTTTTTTATTTTATTTTATTTTTTTTATCCTCATCCGAGGACATTTTTCCATTTTTTGTACAGACAGAGTGGGAGGGAGAGAGAGGAAGAGAGAGAGAGAGAGGGAAACATCGATGTGAAAGGGACACATCGAGTGGCTGCCACCCGCACGACCGACCAGGGCCGGGGACAAACTGCAACCGAGGTACGTGCCCTTAGCGGGAATCGAACCCGGGTCTCTCCGGACCGCAGGTGGACGCTCTAACCGCTGAGCCAAACCGGCCAGGGCACAATGTGTAGTTTTTAATTCAGCTAGAATATTGACTTGCTAGGGTAGTTGGTTTCCTGGCATGATAAGTTTCAAGTTTACAATTAAAACATACATAAATGACATTTGAGAAATTGGTGTTATTGTTAAGCCATGTTATGTCTTTTGTGGGCTATGATTAATTCATTCAGTAACCATTTATTGATAGTTTTGTATCCCAGGCACTGTGCTAGGTGCCAGGGATACAGATAAAAATAACACAGTCCAGTTCTCAAAAAAACTTAGTCAAGTAGAAAGGTATACAGTAATGCAGCATTGTATCCTCTCTGATAGAGGGACATACAAGGTACATGGAAACGAAGGTTCAGCTAATTTAGATCTGAGAGTGGTAGGGTTAGTACAGTGGGGAAGGCTTCCCCTAAGGCAGAATAGATGCATAACTTCATTTGGGTGAGTAATAACTAACTGGATGGGAAGAAAGGGAAAGGCTGTTTTAAGTCAATTAAATCAGTGGTTCTCAAACTTTATTTGTGCATCAGAATCACATGGAAGAAATTAAAACACAGATTTTTGGACCCCCCCCCCCCCCCCGCAAGAGTTGCTAATTCTTAAGGTCTGGGATGGGGGTCAAGAATTTGCATTTCCGCCCAGCCGGTGTGGCTCACTGGTTAAGCATGCACTAAGAGGTTGCCGGTTCGGTTCCCCGTCGGGGCACATGCCCAGGTTGTGGCCCCGGACCCTGGTGGGGGACATGCAGGAGGCGGCCAGTAGATGTTCTCTCTC